CTTTCTTTCCAGATTCATGCACATTCGAAATCGGTAAATCGTTGTTTTATCTTCTCAAATCAGATTTCGGTAAGTCAAATGATGTTTCGATTTCACGCATATTAACGGCATGCTCTTGATCAATATAATATGCACATTATCGGTGTAATATCTCCTACAATCCCAACATTTAATAAAAAACCCAGATCCAAACCCATCTGGTCCAGGAAAGCTATCTATGGGAATTGCAAACATAGCCTCTTTTACTTCCATTTCAGTTGGTAAAACACAAAGCAATTGTGCCTCATCCTCTGTTAGAGTGTCTTTAATCAAACCAGACAAATCTGGCACTGCACTCACATGTTCTTCAGTAAGGAATCGTTCGAAATAATTCACTGCCTCCAGGTGTATTTGTTGAGTAGAAGATAGGCGTGTGCCATTCTCTAAAACCATGTGATCTAGCTTTCTATTTTGTCGGTGTTGTGCAATAACTGCATGGAAAAATTTTGTGTTGTTATCTCCCTCTTTAATCCATTTCTTTTTAGCTAATTGAGAAAGCCTCATTTCTTCTCTCTTTTGCCATTCCGCTAACTCAATTTTGGAAACTAAAAAATCCTGTTCCACCTCTGCTATATACTCTTCTTGCAAAGCACTTTCTAATACCTCCACACTCTCTTGAAGCTCTGATATAACATGATCAACCCTGCCAAAAACTTGTTTATTCCGTATTTTGAGAGCCATCTTTGTCCTTTTTAACTTGGCAGCCAATCTTTGTAAACCTCCCATATTCATATCCTTGCTACAGTTTGCCCAAGCTTCTTGTACACAAGATATGAAAGTCTCATGTTCACACCACATTCGCTGGAATCGAAAAGGTGATGGTCCATATGAATCAATCAACTGTTTAAAATAGATGAGTATAGGGCAGTGATCAGATGTCTCCTTATCCAAGAGCCGCACACCTAAATTCGAAAGCATTCCAGCAGCCATGGAATTTACTAATGTTCTATCAAGTCAAGCCCAGCTCCTAGCATTTCCATCCTGACCATTGCACCAAGTAAGTTGTCTTCTTTCTGAAGATAACTCTAGTAGCCCACATCTATCAATACAATTATTGAAATCATCCATTGCCACCATAGGACGTGGTTTCCCACCTCGTCGCTCCAGATCATTCCTAATTATATTAAAATCTCCTGCTACGATCCAAGGTAAACCATTAACCGTAATACTCTCCAAATCCTCCCAAAGGGATCTTCTCTCTAAGGCTGTACATTTAGCATATACAAATGAAATCATCATTGTATTTGATCCGTTAGTGAATACACCATGCAAGGCCTGATTCGAAACTAGCATTCTTTTTTCTCCTTTAATGAAGCTTTTGATAACTATCTCTCGTGGAACACAGAATCGTTCTTATGTTTCTGGTTTAACCTCCCCCAAATTTGAGCAACCTCTGAAAGATATCAAGAAAGTACATTCCTGATGATATCTAGGAAGTGTATGTTTTGAATTATATGAATTTAATGTTTTTCCCAAACTTGTAGTTAATCGACCTCAAGAATCAAAATGCTACTCTCAATATTTGGATGTGTTCTTGGAATAATGATATAAGGATGTAAAACAGCAATCAACCACACTTTTGAACGTTCATAGGGTATGATATATATAGGGATAAGTACTTGGGATGAAAATGAATTGAAAAACTGAGTATTTGAAGCAAAATAGATTTCTGATCGTCGTCCATCGCTCGAGTGCTAAGCCACCGATAGGCGAGTAGCAGCTGAACAGTCGTCAGTATTTTTATTATAACTTTCTCTCTCGATACCCAACTGAGGTGATTCAAAATAAGTTGAAAAACTAACATAAATGGCTACAATTCTTCTAAGTATACTTGTCCAAATTCCAATTTTTTCTATGTGAAAAATGCGTTTCAAGTTACAACTGAAAATTTGGAACATAACTTGTGCGGCT